AGCCCTTCTATGACACTGTCCATTTCTGAAATCTTGTTGTTTATCTTTTGGATTTCTAATTGTTGTTTTTGTATAATTTCTAGTTGTGAATTTACTTTGGCATTTTGTTCCTGCATTATTTTCCTGAATTATTCCATTTTTTTGTCTGTATTTTCCATGAATTTGCCTGCCTTTTCCATGAATTTGTCTATTTTTTCCTGATTTTTGTCTGCTTTTTGCTTCAACTCTTGGGTAATTCTGAGTATTAGAGATTTGAATTCCCTGTCAGGTAGTTCTTGTGCCTTTTCTTCTAGTGGAAAGTCATCTGGTATTTTATTTTCAACACCTATTGGAACCATCCTGTCCTTTTTTTGTAAATGTTTTGGTATTGTCTGGTGTCTTCGGGGCATTCAGTAGTTATTTTTCTTGTTTATTGATTGTAGATTTGTTTGTTTCATCCCTTTTTTTTTTTTTAAATTTGGCTATGTCTGAGCAGGCGGGCTGTGTGTTCTTTGTTGTTTGCTCATCTGTAGGCATGATACTTTTCGCCTCCTCCAATTGGCAGGTCCGTCGCTCAGATATGGTACAGCAGGGCAGGTCTAGCTGAAGAGGAGTTGCTGGGATGGGTTGTTTGTGGCACTTACTACAGCCACCGGGGTGTGTCAGTAATCAGTGCAGGGCAGTTCCGGTAGGCCGTGCCTGTGCTGCTTGGTGGTGTGATGTTAAGCGCACGGTGCACAGGTAGGCAGGATGGAGGGGGGAGATTGTGATGCGTGGAGCTAAGATGAGTATGGGAGAGAGGAGAGAGGAACAGGAGCCAAAAATATACAAACAAACAAATAAGAGTGCTAGGGGAGCTTGCCCTTGGAGTGGAGAGATGAGAGACTATGAAATGGAGAAAAACAAAAAGGGGAAGAAGAAGAAAAAAAAGAAAAGAATGAATGAGTAAAAATTAGAAAGAAAACAGCAAAGCTCCCAGGGATCCCACTGGTGTGGCTACGAGGTCTGGGGAAGTTGTTCCCAGGTGCTGAAGTATAGCCTGGCTTGGAGGCGTAGAGGTATTCAGCACCAGGTATCCAGGGGACAGGAAGAGAAGGAAGGTATAGAGAGATGAGAAACTGAGTAATGAAGGACAGAAAGGGAAAGAGGGGGAAAAGAAAAAAAAAAAGAAGAACAAGAAACCCTCCCAAAAAAACAGAGAACAAAGAAAACAAAAGATGAAAAAAGAAATGCTCTCAGGGATCCCTCTGTGCATCTGCAGAAGCTTAGGGGGTAGGTCCCAAGCTGCACAGCACCGCCTGGCCAGAATGGGCTCCCAACTCGAGAAAAGAAAAAGAAAACAGAAGAAGCCCCGGGATCCCACCAGCATGGCAGCATGGACCGGGAAGCAGCCCCACACTCGAACGGAACTCCACAGCCCCTCAGGAAGAAGCAAAGATGGTGCACAGTGCCAGGTATTTGAGCAAAAGGAGGAGGAGGTGGTGAGAGGTAAGGAAGAAATCAAAAGAAGCGGAAAAAAGCAACACCAGCAGCCAACAAATGGCACTGAGGGAGTCGGCCAGTGTGGGCGGGTAGAATCCAAGCAGTCTCTTCCTGGCCAAGAGACTGTGGTCATGGGAAGCAGAGGAGGCCGAGTGGGGGTGAAGAAGGGTGGGGGGTGGGAAAGCGTATATCGCTGTTTACTGGTTGTTCTGTCTCCTGCTGGAGGCTACGTGAAGCTGCTTTCTCCTACCTCCTATTTGCTGGTCTCTGATAGGAGCCCAAGATGGCGGATCCATTCTCCATTAGTTGATAGGGGACCTCTCCATGTATGTCTCCTCTCTCTCTGTTCTCTGTCAGTTTCTTATTCCATTTGGCGCTTGGCTGAGTTCTTTATCTCTTCATTTGATGTTTAGGATTTCAGGATTGATGTTTTCTCTGTTTGGCTAAGTTTTTCGGATCTTTCCTATGGAGGGACAGCGTGGTGCTTCTGCCTAAAGTGCCATGTTGCCAGAAGTCACCCCGCATCATTGGTATTTTACTAAAATAAAATAATACAAGGTTTTAAAAAGTAAATAGGATGAGATTATGATTTTTTTTCTCATTAATTTTTCTTAAATTGAAAGAAGGCACAAATGACAGATATTAACAGGAAGAACTTGACAACAGCCTCTATCATTCTTGCTTACTGCACCATTCTCTCTAGCTCTTATAATGCAAATATATCTGTATTTTGTGGTGTTCTAAAAATAACGTGTTTGATTTTGACACTTGTACAAGTTTGAGAACCACTGGTCTGAAAAAAAATAGGTTCTTTGAATTAGAAAATGGAGTTTATATGTTGAAAAATAAGCAAACTGCTACAGAGATCAGGTCAACATGTATTTATATACTTATACACTCTCTTTTAAATAGCATACATAAAGGCTGCTAACATCTCCCATAGGATTGTTTCATTATTGTAAATAACTTTTATTTTGTGATCTTACAGGAGCCCAGGCTTGTGTGCTTGTATTTTCTACCACAGACAGAGAATCTTTTGAAGCGATTCCAAGCTGGAGAGAGAAAGTAGTAGCTGAAGTAGGAGATATACCAACTGTACTTGTGCAGAACAAGATTGATCTCTTGGATGATTCTTGTATAAAAAAGTAAGATGACTACTTTTTTGGGGGGGACAGTAATTCTACAAAAGTTAAAATGTTTTTTAATTGTTATGTAGACATAAGATTTAGCAAAGGTTTTTATAAAGACTGCGTTATATTTAAAGTTTCTTCAGGCTATCCTGTGTGATTGTTTGAGATTAAAAGAAATTCATACTGAATTATAAGTGGAAAAAATTAAAGGAATAAAGTTTGAAGGTCGTTTTAGGATTCCAGTCTTAGGTCCTTGGACCATAAATCCAATTCTTCATGTTAATTTAAAACTAGATATATAAGAATGTTAAGAAAAACATATTTTCATATCTAAAGTAAGTAGCTATCCTACATTGATGAATTTAAATAGATAAAAGGTACAGATTCATATTGTTTTGTATATTCAGAATTCTTATGTTGAAGTTTGTGAACAGAGTTTTAGCCCGTTGCTATCGAGTCAGTTCTGACTCGATGGCAACCCTGTGTGTGTCAGTAGAATTGTGTTCCATAGGGTTTTCAATGACTGATTTTTTGGGGGAAGTAGATTGCCAGGCCTTTCTTCCTAGGCATCTCTGGGTAGACTCAAACCTCCAACCTTTTCAGTTAGCAGCCAAGCATGTTAACCATTTGCACAACCCAGGGACTCTGAACAGAGTTTAGCATCCAGATAATTTATGTCCTATAAATATTTACTCATTGCATCACTAATGTTTTTGCTAGCTTTGAAATCTGTGCTTCACTTTTACCTTATTGTTATTTTTTATTTTGTTATGTGTTCTTCTATTAGTTTTCTATTGCTATATAACAAACTACCCCAAAATTTAGTGGCTTAAACATCAAACATTTATTATTTCACAGTTTCTGTGGGTCAGGAATTTGAGAGTGGCTTAGCTGGGTGATTTTAGTTCAGGGTTTTTCATAGACTGCAGTCAAGATGTTAGCTGGGGCTATAGTCATGTAGAGGCTTGACTGGAGCTAGAGGATCCACTTCCAAGATGGCTCACTCACTGGACTGTTGGCAAGAAGCCTTCATTCCTTGCCCCATGAGCCTCTGCTTCAGGGTTCTTACAACACGACAGCTGGCTAACCCCCAGAGCAGGTGATCCAAGAGAGATCAAGGCAAAAGCCACAATATCTTGAATGACCTAGCCTAGAAGTCACATACTATGACTTCTCCTGTATGTTATTTGTTACACAGGCCAATCTTGATAAACTGTGGGAGGGGACTACACAAGCTCGTGAAGACCAAGAAGTGGGGAATCATTGGGAGCCATTTTGGAGCATGGCTAATACCAGACCGAAACCAAACCCGTTGCTGACTCATAGCGATCCTATAGGACAGAATAGAACTGTCCCATAGGGTTTCCAGGGAGTGGCTGGTGGATTTGAACTGCCGAGCCATAGCTCTTAAGCACTGCGCCACCTGGGCTCCATGGCTGCTACAGTGCTAATAAAATTAGGAGTCCACTTTTATAGACACAATCCTAATATACTGACTTTGGCTTTTGGCAAAGTCTTTTGTCACGTAAGAGTAAAATAAGTATTCAGTGTAAGGTTTTTAGAGTATGATTAAATCCAAATGATATTAAAAACAGAAGAGAGAATTGATTAAAGTATTATATAAAGAAAAGTGATGTTTAACCATGGAGATTAGTAATTTTATAGAAAAGTGTTCTGTTTACAGATACGGTATATTGATTGGTGTTTATCCTCCTAGAGGAGTGAAGACTAACTTTTACTCAAGCACTAGGTGAGACTTAGCTTTCAACTGGTTTTATTTAACTGGGCATCAATATTAAGCTTGTTTAAAATAAGAAAAATTTCTAGAAGGTGTGATTCTCACTCTCCACCCCCGCCCCCACTGTATTCAGTAAATGTAATAACAGTGATTGTTTAAAACAAGCTATGAATTACCTCTGTTAGCATTTTCTTTTCTGAATTGATGTGCAGTGAGGAAGCTGAGGCACTGGCAAAAAGGTTAAAACTAAGATTCTACAGAACGTCAGTGAAAGAGGATCTAAATGTAAATGAAGGTAAATTGTCTTTTTAAATAAATTATTGCAACAGGGTGTTTGCTTTAATCTAATGCTTTTTTATTGTATTGTTTAGAAATTTTATTTGTATGAGAACAAAATTTGCTCTTTGTCACCTATTATTAAGTATGATTTAAAAGCGTGAATGCTTGTTACTCTCTACAGCAAAACTTTATCTGGTGGTTTTTTGTTTGTTTGTATATTTAAAAATCTAAGGTATATGTGTGTGAATGCGTACATACTATGTGTTTTTAATGCATACCTTTTTCTTTTAATCTTCTACATATCAAATTAGTTGTTTTAGAACACTAGGATAGTAGATATTTTATTAGGTATTGATGACCTTAGTTTGTTTAATAATATTTCCTAGTTTAAGAAAGTGAGATTAGAGAAAGATAACTTTTTTTTTTTTTTTTAATTTCAAAAATGCCACTTATTTTATTAGATTGAAACTCATTTGTTGCACAAGTCTTTATACTGGTTTGTTTTTTTCACCTGAAGAAAGTTGACATCTTTTCAAGACTTGGTTTAGCATCACTGAATATTATTCACTATCCAAGGACTTAAAAGTAAAGAGCCAGTGACAACAAGTGTTCTTCCATTTTTGTACTAATAAAAGACCACTGTACATTTACTGATATTACCATTGTATTTCTTAGGTAATCATCAAATAATTTTCAAGAGTTGAACTTCTAACTAGATTGTCTGCTTCTAATTCTAAATTTGTTAATTAAGTATTATAATGTTGTTGTTGTTAGGGGCCATCGAGTCAGTTTTGACTCATAGCAACCTCATGTGACAGGGTAAAACTGCCTCATAGGGTTTTCTTGGCTGTAATCTTTATGGGACCGGATCGCCAGGTCTTTTTCCCATGGAGCCACTGCGTGGATTCAAACCGCCAACTTTTTGGTTAGTGACTGAGTGCTTAACCATTGCACCAGTAGGACGCCTTGAAATATCATAATAAGTGATGTGAAATAACAGATTTTACATGCATAAATTATACTTACCTGGGAGGCTTGTTTTTTTTATTTTAGTTTTTAAATATTTGGCTGAAAAATATCTTCAGAAACTCAAACAACAGATAGCTGATGATCCAGAACTAAGGCATTCAAGTAGTAACAAAATTGGTAAGTACCCAGGAAATTGTAACCTGTGTTTACCTGGTAAATTTATTTTCCATTCATCAGTATTATATTTACTATTTTTATAATACGCTCATTTCTTTAAGACATGTGATGAGGAAGTGTTAAATCAGTGGTTATTAAACTTAAGAGTATCAGATCTCTTCTTCAGAAATATTGAGTTAAAAATATTTTTTACTGTTGAATTTTCTAAATCCATTTGGTACGTTAAAAATACCAGGGATATTAAAGACTTTTTATAAAAGTCTGTTATATAAAAGGGCTTTATAATATTTGTTTTTCTGATTTTATACTTGTGCTGTCTCTTACCTTTCCCCATTCCTACCATGTTTCTCATTACCTGTTACTGAATTTTTTTTTAATGCTAAATGCTACCAGAAGTTTAGCATTCCCACAAAAGGACAAATACTGTATGATCTCACTTATAGGAAATAAGCAAATATATAGAAACTGAAGATTATTTATTGGTGGTTACCAGAGGTGGGACGGGGAAGGGGAAGTTTTTGTTTAAGGGGCAATGAGTTTATTTAACGGTGGTAGAATATCTTGGAAAAAGATAGCGATAATGGTGACACAACATGAAGAACGTAATCAATGCCAGGGAATTGTAAATGTGGAAGTTGTTGTGTTGGTGGATGTTTTGGTGTGTATATTTTCCCAGTAAATAGAAGAGAGAGAGGAAAAGTTTAGCATTCCCAGAAGGATAGGTTGTCTTCTGTTTAACAACGAGAATGACTGAGCGTGTCTCCCTCTTTGCTTTGGCCTCCAGGAGGATGAGAACCAAGTTTGCTGGTTCTAAAGCAGTTGTGTAGTCTCATAGGGACTTCATATCAGTATTCCGCCTGCCCTCTCACTACATACACGTAACACAAACATCATTTTCATGACCTATTTTTTTTTTTTTTTTTTTT